GTCAGGGCGGCTAGGGTCTGGAACCAGCTTCCAAGTGAGGTGGTGCAGGCTCCCACCCTGGGGGTTTTTAAGAGGAGGTTGGATGACCACCTTACTGGGGTCATTTGACCCCAGTGCTCTTCCTGCCATGGCAGGGGTTCGGACTAGATGATCTGCTCAGGTCCCTTTCGACCCTAGAAACTATGAAACTAGTCCCTACGGTGGTGGTGGGGGAGATAAAGAATTGAAGAGGGCTTCCCTCTTGGGGGGGAGGATACATAACAGTACAACAGGCTGTGTATTATCAGAGGGCTTGTAGCAATCTGCATGCTCTCAGGGCCTGCAGCCATTAAGTAGCTGATTGCAGGCTGGCTAGGAGGACTGGGCCAGCTGCAGCAGATAACTAGCTGGCATCCAGGCATCTAAAAGGGCTCCCAGGGAACAGAGCCAGGGTCAGTCTGGAAGAGACTGGAAGCTTGCAAGCAGGAAGCTAGAAGTTAGAGAGCTGCAAGCGCAGTGGGGGAAAGCTTGTGGGTCAGCTCACAGAGGAGCCTGAGGATCAGGCCAGGAGTGCCTCTTACCCAGAGGACTGCAAGTGCAGCAAAGAGACTGTAAGTGAGCCCTTCCTGTGACTGAAGGGCTGGAGGGGCAAGAGAGACAGCAGGCAGATAGTGGCAGACTATACCCAAGGGCTCTCTTTGGGTCTGAGAGAAGACCCCATGTGGTACAAGCATTTGGTTTATGGATTGGCTTGTTTATATTGATTCCTGCTGGGAGGGAGTTTGTCCTGGAGAAATAAAGATAGTGGGAAAAGACTGTGAGTGAACCTGAAAGACTGAGTGAGCAAATCCCCAAACCTGCTGCAGGGACTATGAAACTCCAATGGCTTGGAGAGAACTGGGACACAGCCAGAAGGCTTGTCAGCCAAGTTTATCACTTGGTGATATTTATCACTAAAAAAATATATCTAGCAGCATATCAGTAACGTTAAAAATGTCAGTTGTATAATCCAGAGAGTTAGACTTGAGTGTTAAGCTGCATAATGATTCGTGTATCTTTTGAAAGAGAAGCAAATTTGTTGCAACTGCAAGTGGTGTTATGAAATATCAATTTTTAAAATATTCTGCTTTTAAATTGTCTGGGTAAATGATAGTATTTATATGCATCATCAGAATCAAAGCATACTGTGTTGAATGGTAGTATACGGAAGGGTGCAGTGCAGCTTTGTGAATTGAATATATAAGGTGCCTGAATATCTGAATTATTTTCATTAAAATGTAGATAAAGCAGTTGTGCTGATAGTGATTAAAGTTAATTCATTTTTCTACGTAGAACTGATATAATACTAATAGGAGATAATGTGTAAAATCCACAGGCATTGGGTATGATCAGATCTTTTTGCAGTATGTACAGTATTAAATGTTTAGTTTTTGACTTCATCCTCTCCAAAATAAAAATATGTTTGGCAACATCTAGTTATAAGCACTCTTAGAGCTCTTAGATGGTACAAGTAGTGCTTGTTGGGAATTAAATTTGATTCCCTGGTGTTTGGATAGTAAATAATATATGCACTATATCCACTGGTGTAGAAGACCTAAAGTAATTCAGTACTGTCAACAATGTCATGCCCACATGCCTGATTCATGGATATAGGATATGATTATGAGCCATGTGTGAAAATTTAAAACCAGAAAAAATGATGCGCCGTTTAAACTGACCTTAAGGATGTAATTTATTAGCTTTATATGAGAGGTTTTTATTAATGGGATATCTTTGACAATTTAACTCTCATATTGCTGCAATAGTAAAGTTGATGAGAATTTTAATTTTTAATAGTATAATTATAGAACTTCCCATAAGAATGAAATTCTTAGTTTCATTTCCTAATTTCAATATCCCAATTTTATTTTTTAAATGATTAAAGATCCAAGTTATTTAAAAGGCTTCTGTTCATGTTTAATAAGTATACTTTTACTACTTCATGCTGAAAAAAGTCTTCTGCTGTGTGTTTGTAGTTTTTTTATGGTACTCTGGATAAGCTGCTCTTTTACGGAGGATGTGTGTCATCAACTTTCTATCTAGCCCACAGGGTGAACCTGGCTTTTTCTGTCAGGTTTCAGTTAGTGTTTTTTCTTCCAGTAAGTCTACAGATCAGATCTTTTCTGTTTCAACAGTGCAGCATAGTTTACGTTTCTAAGCAGGAAGTAAACATATTCTGTCTAGGGAAAAACAACAATTTTTTAAAATAAGGAAGCTTGATTTTGAAGTCTTATGGATATATTTTCAAATATTTGAAGGTCAAGTTTTGAACAAAATAAAATGGCTTAAATGTAATTTTTCTTTCTTATCTTTAGACCTGTTCCATATACACAATTGCAGTTTTCTTTGTGCCATACCTTTTTCACTTGTGTTGAGAGGAAACAACTATTTTATTTCATTTTTTAAGGACACAAAATTAAGCATCTTAACATTTTAATCAAATATTAGTATCACACATTCTCTAGTCGTCCATTTTATGAAGTGGCACTGCTAGGAAGATAATTGCATAGGATAAGAGATCCTCGGCGTTAAATAGAAAGCTGTAATTCACTTGAATTACAAGTGACCAGCTTAGTTGATGGCATCCAGCCCACAAAGAACACCAGAGCCTAGTGAATTCAGAGCCTTGTATCCAGTGCCGAGCCATCTCCGGTGACATAAGGAATGTGTTACAAAGTCCTCTCAGAATGTTGCTGCTCAGCCAACAAAAGGCC